CTTGACTAATAATTATCTAAAGTTAAGTGGGGTTACTCTAAAAAGACATTGTGGTTGGGTAACAAGAAATAGGATTGTTACGTGCCTCCACCCAATAGATATAGGGATAGCAGAACCCGAATGAAATGAGTTACTTGACTGAGGGATTTTTTGTGATGGTAATGAAGAGTGCTTGGAGAAGAAGGTGATGGTGTGACCAAACCATGGCAGGAGCTTGATTAACGAAGAACCTATAATATCATATACATGTGAACACACATGTCAGTGGGCTGAGCTGAGTGCCACCAAAGCCCCTCTAAAGAAAATAATAAGTTATAATCTAAGAGGCTTAGGAACTAAGAAGAAGAATTTTATTTTTTTAATCGAACTTACATTCAAACAAAACTCAATTCAGAGATGCATAATTTGATATATGAGTATTTTAGTAAGATAACGTCAAAACAATTACCAACAAGCTGGAAACATACACGGAATTGCTATTATAATAGTTTCAGTTATCAGAATTGCTATTATAATAGTTTTTTGAAATGCCTTCGACCTGATCTACTGACCATCAATGATTGAAGAGATCATCAATGATGCAAACGTCTAAAGAGGTTCAGATCATTGATGGTGAGATATTGATCATTGATGGTGACAACTTAACCACCAATGCATAAGATCGAGCATTGATAGTTGATCGCCAGAATTGCAATTTTAATTTATTTTGAACTTAATCTTAGTTGTTCATTTCCACTGACATATAGGCTCCTTGCTCATGATTTTTAGAGAAGTTTTTAACCTAATTTGAGAGAGAAAGAAAGAGAAGATAGAGAGAGCTAGGGTTTAAAATTGGTGAAAGGATCTAGCTCAGGCTTCTCAGAATGCATCCTTAACGTCGTTCCTCATCATCTGCTCATCAACCTTCGATTAGTGTTGCCCTTAGGCTTCATCATCATCATCATTTTTTCTCAAAGCTTCATTTTAATCATTAGCAGAATGGTTTGCACAATCAAACGTCTATAAGATTTTTCTACATTTGTGTTTAATTGATATTTAATACTTATAAGAAACTACGTCTTTAACGAAGAGATTTCCCTTCGTTAAAGAACTTAAAACCTTCGTTATTGTGCAACGACAAGAAAAAATCTCTTCATCACCCATCGTAGAAGCCTTCTTCGCTAAAGTGTTACGAATGTTATAATACTCATCGTTGTAGAGTCTACAACGACAGAACATATTACTGTCGTTCATATTTGCAACAGTAATTATCACCATTGTTACCATTAGTGACGGGGACTTTTCCTATTGTTACTATAAAATGATGGTTTTTAATTCTCGTTGTTGTTGTGTAATGATGGTTTTGTACTCCCATCGTTATTGTGTCACAACATGTGATAATTAATGACACCGTCGTAAAAATCCTCATAATGGGTAATTAATAACCCATCAACGATGGTGCTTTCCCTTCATTGATGTACTAAATACGGTTTACAAAACCGTCATTGTAGACTATAAATTTCTAATATACATTAATGATAATTTTTTCATTCATAGGCAACTATCATAGAAAACCTTCATATTATTCTCAACCCGACAATAAGATTCATAACACAAATATATTAAAAATACTCAATAATAAAATAAAAGGGAAAACAAAACTCCATTCATTAATAATATCAATAAATTTATTAATAACATTAATAAATAAAATTCCACCATCCTCAAATATGCAATACTAATAACAAGAGTTAAATCCTAATTATTCCAAAGAAAAATATGTGAAACTATCTAAAGTAAATTAAAATAAAAGTCTGGAAAAGACACATCCTTTCATCTATAATCATTATCAAAAAGAAGATTCGAGCTACCACCTCTCCTAATCTTCGATAGCCTAAAAAATAAAAAAAAGTATATAATTAAGAAATATCAATTAAGCAAATATTATTTTATTAAGTAAAAATCATATTTTCTCCTGTACAAGTAGTCGATCATAAAAGTATATAATAGATTTTACAAAAATAAATTATCTAGTATTGTACATGTTTTCGAGTTTGAGGAGTCAATGAAGTATTAGATTGTTGCCTAAAAAAAGTTCATGCATAACTTTCACTTGTGACTCTTAAGTCAGACATCCTTTGTTATTGTTGATGTTGTTGTTGCTCCTGCTCATCTAAACGTTGTTGAAGCATCTGGTTCTTTCCGTTTTCTTCTATAACCTGTGTTTCCAGATCAGATCAACTAGGGAGCGGTCCTCTCAAATCCTTCAAAATAGTCCCGCCATCAAATACAGTGATGTGACCATGAGATTGATTCTCCTAAAATTTCTCAATTATCTCAATGTCTAAAAGTGAAGGGTTTGCTTGTATGACTTGAATGAGTTTATCCTATAAAAATTAAATTCATATGTTAGTACTATATAATGTATCATTATTAAACTTAAATATATATTCTACTTATATATTTATCTTGATCCCCAGTATCTAGTGTTTCATTAGCTTTCTTTCGGGTTTTATGGAACATTTTTGCCACATCGGGTGGATTTTCTAGCTTGCCACCCTTCTTCAAATATTAAATAAAAATGAGTACAGCAACAAACTAAAAAACAAAGTAGTTTTTAATAAATAGGAAATTAATTTTGAATGTATACCAGCTCCCACACAATTTGTCAAAAGGGTTTACTGCCCGTATGGTAGAGCATCTTTTTTTTTTTGCCCTTGTTAAGTGTATTTTGTTGGATTGCTTTCTATACATTAAGATTAAAAAAGAATTTTAATAATTCAGCAATATACAAGAAACAAAATAAATAAATGTAGGAGATTAATACCTAAAATTTTGAACAAAAATAATATTTCTTAACTAGCCAATCTCAGTCATCAACACTCACTCCTGCATATTTATTTGTAAGTGCAAATTGTAATGATTTTTCTTTCACATATTTTATGTGCATCTCATCATGACACTTATTTCACAGATCGCGCAAGCGTCTCATTACTAAATCTCTCTTTTGCTTCATGTCCTTGGCATCAAATTTATCCTACATTAAATTTGAATCAGAATGTAATTTATAAGAATTAATGACCAATTGAAAAAAAATAATTTTTAAAGTACCATAAAAGATGTCCACAAATGATCTTTATTTTGTTATGGTACTTTGGCCTAATTCTCAATAGCTATTGGGCAAACATTTCTATCATTAATAATAATGCCAAGATATCGTGAAAATTCTGGTTCAATAGCTATATTCTGATAAAAGTAATGATCTCCCCTCTGGCAAAATTATTCAACTTTAGACACTTATTACTACCACGTGATGAATTTTTCTTCTTTTGAGGAGTATCAGCTGCATAAATCATATCATATGTTAGAATCAAGATATAGTTAAAAATAAATTGATAAAAATATATCTTCTTGTAATTAATAAAAAATATACCTTCTTATCGAGATTCATTTAGTATTGCATCATTAGTTTGTGCTCGATGATTATTTGATTCTGCAAAAATTAAGTAATTATTAATCCAATCATAAAAAAATAAATTGAAAGGTATAAAGAAATAATAATAAATTTTAAGTCCTATAAACCTGCAAAATCATCATTCTCTTCATTATTAGTATTTGGACTTCTCTTGTGATTTTATGCAAAATTCTTCTCTTTAAAATTTTCTGAATCACTGCTAAAATTTGCAGTCATATTTTAATCTTGTATTGGATTTTGAATATTCATAGTCTTGCTAAGACAAGTACGAAGTTATTTTCTACTTAATGAATTTCCTGCAAGTGCTTGAAGTTGCTTTGTAATTAATGTCCTGGGTGCTAAAAATTATGCCCTTTTACTTTTGGAAGTGACTTCTTGGATTTTTATTTTCCTTCTATGAAAAGAAATTTAAGTATGATTTTATACACTATGTATGAAACAAAATGTCAAAAGAGAAATGAATAAAAGAAAAAAGAAATCACAAAGAACAAGCATAATAATAAATACATAGTGCACTAATGTAGAAGGACTTGCTGCAATGTCAAAGCTACATTCGAAATAGGAAGAAAAGAAACATTATATGTCTTAAAAAAGGAATAGTTATAGTAAGATACAACTTAAAAATTATCTCAATTACACAATATCATTTGAGTCATATTATTTGATGAAAGCATTCTAATCCTCTATTGAGTCTTTTTCCTCTTTTGTGAAGTTGAGGCCAAATTTATAATAGTTGGATCAATATTGCTCATCCTCAAATTGATATCATCATCTACCAATGACGTTGGTGCAATAGCCTGTGTGTCAAATTATTCA